TCCAGCCGCCGCGCCAGGCCGAGGCTGTCGAAGTTGTCATAGGCGTTGATGGATGCCCTCAAGCCCTAGAAGACAGCCTTTCTGTGAGGGAAGGGACACCAGGTCGTGGGCTGACTCAGCGAGCGGGTACCTGCTCCCCCTCCTGCAGGCGGCAGGGGAAGCAGAAGGCCGAGGCTGTCCCCCACCCCTCCCAGGGTCCCTGCACCCACCTGGTAGTCCTCCTCCTCGATGAGCAGGTGATTGAGCGCCTCGTTCACGCTCTTGTTGTTCTGGCTCTGCACCGACCGCAGGTAAGGCTTCACCAAGGGCAGCTGGCCCGCCTGGTGGGCCAGGAGAAGGGTCATGGGGGCACTGGGCGGGGCCGCCCCGGGAGCAGGGGGGCATGGGCTGGTATCTGGAGCCTAGGAGCACCTGCCGGACTCCTAAAACCAACAGGCCTCCGGCCAGCAGGTGGCATCATGGTTATGTAGTTGACTGTGGTTCAAATCTCAGACCCGGAGGCTTAAAACTCACGCCAGGTGCTTTCTGTCTCTGTTTCTGTCTGTCTCTGAAGAGGACATGCGCCCGATGGCAAAAACCTCTCTTTGAAAAAAAAAAAAAGCATGCAGGCCCAGCAGGTGGCGGAACGGCTATGTCGCTGGACTCCCATGTATTCCACCGCAATTCGAGTCCTGGACCCGGTGGCTTAAACTCACGCCAGGCGTGTGTACCTACATGCCCAAGATCCCGAGAGGAGAATGGAGGAGAAGGAATTGTGGCGTGGCCATCCCCCCTGGGGAGTGATTTCTCGCTTTCTGTCTCTCTGTCTCTGTCTTTCTGGCGAGCACACGTGCCCTATAGTAAAAACTCTCCCAAAAAGTAAACAAATAAATAAGTATCACACTGGGTGCATGTGTGTGTGTGTGTGTGTGTGCCCAAAATCCCAAAGAGAATGGAGAAGGGTCTGCAGTGTGGCCAACCCCCTCGGGGGTGATTTCTCATTGTCACTCTGTCTCTCTGATGAGCACACGTGCCCATGCCAAAAATCTCCCTAAAAAAAAATAAATAAAGGGGCTGGCAGGTGCCCTGGTGGTTAAGAGCACTGGACTCCCACATGTTCGACTCCAGTTTGAGTCCCAGGCCTGGCAACTTGCTCGCTTGCTCTTTCTCTCTTCCTCTCAGATCAAATTAAAATAAGTAAGTTAAATAAAATAACTCTTTTTTTTTTTTGGAGAGGTTTTTGCTATAGGGCGCGTGCACTCGCCAGACAGACAGAGAGAGACAGAGAGATAGAAAGC